AATCATGAATTAAGCTTAAAAACAAAATTTATTATTTTGTTTTTTTATCTAATACAAGTAAAATGCCTTCCGTCTTATTCTTTTACTTACTTTTTTTTTCATTTGGACCCTCTCCTGCTCAAAATCCTGGATCCTCCCCTGGCTCAATAACAATGTTACAGACTAGAAAGTGTTTGCAGTAAACTACAACACACTACTTGTGTACATGGGGGCGCTGTGACTTCCTTTCTTACACTCGTGCAATCCACTGTTCCTTGGGTCCATCTATCTGACACTGGATAACTTTACCATGGAACTGCATAAGCAAAACTGACCAATAAGCTCTGTAGTATATCCATTCCAAGAATGATGACACTAGAACCAAGGTTGGCCACAAATACCTTTATTCAGTAAGGAAACCCCTAGAAATTGTCAGAGTGTGACACCTCCATTTGCCAGAACAAATTTTTGTTGTTAGGCCTGAATGATGGTTTTGCTGTGATATACCAACAGCATATACACCAAGAGAGGGTCAGAATATCTCTGTTTGTTAGGCCTGAATGATGGTTTTGCTGTGATACCTGATATACCACAAGATATAACGGTGTTATGGTTGTTCCTTTATCTACCAAAAACTCTAGCTTTTACCATTGTACACCAATAGGCACATTCCAAGACTCACTTTAAGACCTTGAAGAACTAAGTTGAGAACCACACTTCTAGCTGCAACTTTTTCATTGTTCATCCTCAACTTGGTAGCCTGATATTTTTCTGGAGCTAAATCTACAGTGTTCTTTACTTGTTGTTTACCATTGAAAACTCGTTCTCCACTTTGCAGAACCTGATGACCAAACTCATGTTACTGTTTGGCAAGGTAGGGAAAGTTCACCCCAAACTGGCCCATTTTCCTAAAAACTGGGACAATATCCTGGTGGAAATACCAACAGCATATACACCAAGAGAGGGCCAGAAGAGCTCTGTTTGTTAACTGGAAATCAGTGTGGCTGCATCCCAATGTCAGTATGCATGGATTGTTGGTTGACACTTGGCTGGTTTTGACCCTGATTTGACAGAAGTGTCTGGATAGGATGATATATCTGGGTCAAAGTCACTGCAGCTGTTGCTATAGGCCCTTTCTGCATATGCAAATGGTTTGAAGTTACCACATTCAATCTCTTAATGATAGATATTGCCTCTGTAAAAGTAGAAATATCTCACACCTAGGTATGTTGCATTATTTCAACAGGTAGCCCTTTCAGAACTTGCTAATGATGATGCCATTGCAATCTGCTGATAACATCGATGGGTAAGTCTTGCAAGCAGACAGCACAAGTTATACATTTAAATGGTCAACTTTCCATAGATGCCGTTTTTCATCCTTTGACTCGGCCCAATGGATTGCTCTATTCTCCTCCAGGTCGAATCTTTGGTGAAATTCGGTTCTAACTAACTTCATTTTCAAAAACGAACATTTCCTTCAAATAGACGGTTTAAGTATGAGCAATCCTGTTTCACCCGTTCTTGCCAATATATTCAAGACCCATTTCGAAACATAATCCATATATTCTGCGCTTCATCCCCCACTATACGGGTACAAATATGTCGATGACACTTTTGCTGGTTTTACTTCTACAGAACACACACTAACTTTCTTTGAACACATAAACTACATTCATCCCATCATCAAGTTTATCATAGAACACGAAAACAATAAACAGTTATATTTTCTTAACCTTAACATTATTAGATCGGACACACAGTTCAAAACCAAAATTCACCGTAAGAACACATATACACCGGCGTCTACATCCCCTGGAATTCCGCTCATGACACCACACAACAAATCAATACACCGAAAAATATCATAAACACAGCCACAATACTTTGCTCAATGGACTACATAGATGAAGAAATCAACCAAATAAAACATTCCTTCATTCACACCAATAAATTTCCACCAGCTATTGTTGAAAACCACAACAAAACTCAACTCACTAGCAAAATTGATACAAACAAACCGAACAACAGAACATTACACTGCAGTTTGTCTTTTGTCCCTGAAACCAGCTCAAGAATTATCCACACTTGGAGAAAACTAGCCATTAAGAACAAAATTCCTGTCAACGTCAAATTCTCTCAAATTCCGGCCTTAAATTAAAATTGTTACCAAACAAAAATTATTTAGAATCACACAATAC